AGGTAGGACTACAGCTGAATCTTACGAAGACAATGTTCATGAGAAACAGCCTCGTTCCTGATGCCCCATTCGCTCTCAACGGAATGACCATCTCCAAATGCAACAGCTATGTGTACCTAGGTCGAGAAGTCAACATGACAAATGACCTGGCACCCGAGCTGCGCAGGAGGAAGAGAGCAGCTTGGAACGCCTTCAAGAACGTCGAAGAAATAGCTAAGAGGACGAAGAACCTCCGGCTCCGGGCACATCTCTTTGATTCCACTGTTCTTCCTGCATTAACATATGCCTCAGAGACCTGGGTCCTACGCAAACAGGATGAAAACGCTATTCAGGTCTCCCAAAGAAGAATAGAAAGAGCTATGCTTGGAATATCACGTTTCACTCAAATGAGAGAAAAAATCCAGAGTTCCGACATCCATCGATGATCAAGAATCAGGGACGCTGTCTCATTTGCCAAGGTGTCAAAAATCAGATGGGCTAGTCATGTAATGAGATTTAAAGACTACCGCTGGACTAGGGCTGTTACTGACTGGATTCCATGGGATGTCAAAAGACTGCGTGGCCGCCCACCTACCAGGTGGTCAGACTTCTTCATCAAGATCATGAACGATCGGTTTGAGGCTCTTCATGTTCCCAGAGCGAACAGATGCCATTGCGCTACACTAGCACGCGACAGGGACAAATGGAGACGTTACTGGCACCCACTCGAGCAAATCGACGACTAACAGGAAGTTAAGTGATTAAGTGATAAGTGATTTATCGATGACACGTAAGTAAGTGCCTATATATCCTAAATGTGAAGTAAATTAAAATTTTTATGCTTTTTATGCTTTGTATTATGGTTGGAGTGATAGCACAGTGATAGGGCATTTGCCTTGCATGCAGCCAGCCCGGCCGAGCCGGGTTCGATTCCTCCACCCCTTTCGGAGAGCCTGGCAAGCTACCAAGAATATCTCGCTGGCACGGCAAATCCTGGCAAGCTACCCATGACGTATTCAATATGCCAAACACAGTAACAACAAATCTCACAATGGAGACATTACTGGGCCTGCTCGAGCAAATTGCTGAACAACAGGAGGACAGTGCGACAGTGCTTTGTATTATAAGTACATTAAAATCTTTATATTTATAAGTGGGCTGGAGCGATAGCACAGCGGTAGGGCATTCGCCTTACAAGCGGCCAACATGGCCGACCCGAGTTCGATTCCTCCGCCCCTCTCGGAGAGCCCGGCAAGCTACCGAGAGTATTCGATATGCCAAACACAGTAACAACAAAGTCTCCAATGGAGACGTTACTGGGCCCGCTCGAGCAAATTGACGATCAACAGGAGGGCCTTTACCTTTACCTTTTATAAGTATTTGTACTTTCAAAAAGTCAATTAAGACCTTGGCTTCTTTAGTCTTTTAGGAAGTGAAAATTACAGTCACTTTGATGTATGCTGAGGTAACTTTTATAAAATCCCACCAAAGACCCCTCGTTTCCTGATCCTTATTCTCTCTGTTCAGATTCAATGACTTTTTTATTGAACATGCAAGATGAGAAAGCTGGGCAGCTTCTCAAACACTACACATCAAGAGGACAAAGAAGTTTGTTCCAAGTACATTATTAAATCAACATCATTAATAAAGTGGTGCACGATGTGTGATCACTTGATCACTTGAGTTCCTGTTAATCGTTGATTTGCTCGAGTGGGTGCCAGTAACGGTCTCCATTTGTCCCTGTCACGTGCTAGTGTAGTCCAATGGCATCTGTTCGTTCTAGGAACACGAAGAGCCTCAAACCATTCGACCATTCGTTTATGATCTTGATGAAGAAGTCTGACCATCTGGTAGTTGGCGGCCACGTGGTCTTTTGACGTCCCATGGAATCTAGTCGGTAACGGCTCTAGTCCAGTGGTTGTCTCTAAATCTCATTATGTGTCCAGCCTATCTGATTTTTGATGCCTTGGCAAATGAGACAGCATCCCTGATTCTTATTATCTCATTCTTGCTTTGGACAACCTGGCAGGCTACCAAATATAACCTGCACAGAGAGCAGAGTCTGGCAAACTCCCCGTGGCATACCCAATATGCTAAATACCAGTAACAATGATTGGTCTCATTCTCCTAACCCTGAAAGAGCCTTGAACGTGGCACTTTTTAGAATCTCAAGGCTAGGACGAAGGAGACATTACTGATGCCTGCTTGAGGCAATCGACAAACAACAGGATGATCATGATCATGATCATGTATGGACACAGTACGAGATACATTGAGACTTGTAGTGCAGCTCTCCTGGGAACAACTTGCCGAAGACTCAAGCTACAGTGCTTTGATTAATCTTTCCTACCCCTAGCAGGGTCCAAATCTAGTTATTACTTTTTGGATCATGACAGCAGCTTGTCCATGCCCAAGCTCTTAACTTATGGTTAAGCATTAGTCACTTTGGCCAAGCCCATTTCAATGCCAGGGTAACACATAGCTCATTGCTTGCCCCGAGTCTATCCAGTCCCTCATCGGGACCCTGCTTTGGGGGTGCTAGGAAGTGAGGGAAACTGAGGCTTAAGTGGAGAGAACAGAAGCCCAGGAGGTAAATTTCATTCAGAGTTAATTGACCTCCACTTTACAAAAGCATACATAAAAGGACATTGCTCTGAATTAAGTATGCAAAGGACTTAAGGAAACGAGAAAAACTATATTTGTAAGTCAATAGAACACAAAGAAAGAAGTTACAGATAAACACAGAGGAGTGGAGCACTGTGATGGGAGTAACCCAATAAATCTCAGCTCCCTGCAGCAAGGCAGAAAAGACAAACCAATGTTATCCTACAAAAATGTTCTTTTTGATAAATGTTCTGGGAGACTGAATAGCCACATGCAGATGTATAAAACTGAACAGCTATTTTAAAATACAAACATGAACTTGAAAGGAATTAAAGAATAAAAATAATACCTGAAACCAAAACTGTCTTTAAAGAAAATATTAAAAGAGACCTAACTCAACACTAACTCTACGTGAAATTCCTGCACATATTTTGGTTGGCGTATTTATGTCTGCAGATAAAAAAATAATTTTAAACCGTTTTTGGAGGAAATGGGTTGGGCCACCCCCAGCAGTGTTCAGAGTTTACTGGTGTTTCTGTGCTTGGTATCTCTTTTGGTGGTGCTCAGGAAACAATATGCCATGATAGAAATCAAATGGGATCGACGGTGTGCAAAACAAGTTCCTTACCCACAGTACATCTTCCCTTTGATTCAGTTTGGTTTTGCACCTGGTGGTGCTCTGGGGTTATTTGTAGCTCTGTGCTCAAATGTGACTCCTGGCAAAACTCAGGGGACCATATGTGGTATTGGAGATTCAAACCAGGGCGGGTTGGCCACATGCAAGGCAAGTTGACTTTAACCCCTGTGCTACCTCTCCAGACCCTAAAAGTCTTCATCTTATACCCTAATAGTTGTCTCAACTTAGTCCTTTTATCTCATTCACATTCCCTCACCCTTTGTTCTGAGCTGAAGAGTTGTGGAGCATGTCTGGTTAGAAGATCAGAGTTTAACTGTGAGTGTGAACGCCAATAGCAAAGAAACATACTCTGCTGTACCCTAGCCCTTCCCTTCAGGTCAACAAGATATTGCAGTTAAAATGTCAGATTTTGAGCCACATTAACATCTTTTTTTTTTTTTTTTGCTTTTTGGGTCACACCCGGCCATGCACAGGGGTTACTCCTGGCTCTGCGCTCAGGAATTATCCCTGGCTGTGCTCAGGGGACCATAGGGGATGCTGGGAATCGAACCCGGGTCGGCCGTGTGCAAGCAAACGCCCTACCCGCTGTGCTATTGCTCCAGCCCCTACCACTTTAACATCTTAATGTATCTGATCACATTGATAAAAGTATCTTCAACTTTAGATCTATCATGGAAAACTGATGTACACTCATACCCTTCACTAAAAGAAGAAAATTGAGTCCTGGGAGTTACAAAGCTGACACTTTGGCTTTCTGTTCTCCAGTCTCAGCTAAAACATTTTTCTTACATTTTTCCATGAATCTTCCAAAGATATTCTATTTTCCTTGTTTTCCTGCCTCTGTTAAGTATCTAAATCTTTCACTCTCTGTTTTACCTGCTCTCTCATATTTTATTTAACTTTAGCTGCCCGTGACTCTTTGTTCTCATAATACAGTAAGCTGCAATTTCACAAGTGTTTGAAGAATACATGCTTTAATTCTTTACTTCCACTTAGTGTTCTGCTCTACCCATTCTAGTCACAAACAGTTGCAAACAATACCATGAGTCCTCATTAATTGCCAGCAAGTCTTGGAAACAGATTTTATTAAAAATTTGTATTAAAAATTATTTTGAATAATTCAATTTGTCCAATATCAGCGAAGTTTTCTGCCAATCCTGTGACAACAAAGTGAAGTTGAACATAGGAAAAATATTAGAAAAACTTCTATACCATTTTAGTGGACAATCTTTAACAAAACCTGGCCCTCTATTCCTTAGAAACTACCAGAAAGTAAAAAATTCACTGCTTCTATACACAAGATTTTTTTCTTTTTGATATTATTAAAATAGAATTTGCATAATATTGAAAGATATAACCCTATATATCTTAATATAAACTATAACTGATGACATCAAAGATACTACTTTGCTTTATTTCAATACAATAATAATTTTATCATTTACTATTTGTTCCTATCCCATCACTTTATTCTACCCAGAGATAAGCAATAAATTATACTTACTGTATATGCTTGTAAATGAGTTTTTCCTTGAGAATGTTTTTAAAAACGCTTTTATAAATGATTTTATCTCTAAATTTCTTTCTTGTTCACGCACACAACATACACATTCATACAAACGAAGTTCCATGACCTTCTGAGGTGAATTTAAGTTTCTTTTTTCAAAGCCCTGTTATTTATACTGTATGTACAGGCAAAAAAATAAGAAACGGGTATATTCTATATATGCAAGAGCAATTGTCTGATGATAGATCTTAAGTCACTTTCTAGCTAAGAAAGTCAGTTCTTGTCTATTCTCAACAATCTCCTCATAGCTCCCTTCACATCCTTATTCCTGAGAGTATATATGAGGGGATTGAGGGTGGGAGTTAAAACTCCATAAAAGAGTGTAAGGAACTTTCCGTCGACATAGCCATAGTATTTCTGTGGTTTGATGTATATGACCGAGCCAGTTCCAAAGAAGAAGGACACCACTATTAGATGAGAACCACAGGTCCCTAGTGCCTTGCGCCAAGCTTGGACTGACTTAAGTTTTACCACTGCTTGCACAATAAGTCCATAAGAGAGCAGTATCAATAACATAGGAATAAGGAGGAGAACTAGTGTGGCCACAAAAAGCTGAACCTCATTTGTATGTGTGTCAACACATGCCAACTTGACCATGGCAGGCACTTCACATAAAAAGTGATCCACATGGTGATGTCCACATCGAGGAAGTCGGAGTGTGGTCGTTACTAGCAGGAGACTGTTTAATATTCCACTTACCCATGCCAATCCTGCTAGGGCCTTGCAAAAGGAGGGGTGCATGATGGTGGTGTAATTGAGAGGTTTGCACACAGCGACATAGCGATCAAATGCCATGACAGTCAGGATGACACATTCCGTGGAACCCAGTGCCAAGAACACATAGAGTTGTATGGCGCAGCCAGTCCAGGTGATGGTCTTGGCTGGTCCCTTCAAATTCCACAGTAACTGAGGGACAGCACTGGTGGTGAAGCCCAGGTCAAGTAAGGAGAGGTTGGTGAGGAAGAAATACATGGGTGTGTGGAGTTTGACATCTAAACGGGAAATAAGGATGATGGCTGAGTTCCCAACAATTGTCAGAAGGTAGGACACCAAAACCACCACGAAAAGGATAAACTCCAATTGGGGCTGGTCTGAGAATCCGAGCAAGACAAGATATCCATCATCTGTTTCATTGTTTTGTTCCATTGGTCTGTTAGAATAAAAAAGATAAAATGAACACAGGGAACTTTCTCCAAAAAAAAAAGGATTCTTTTTATTATTATTTTTGTCTCAATGCACATTAGATCCATTTCCTATTTCTTAATAATTATGATAAATTTTATGGTTTGACTTATGTAATTTTGCTAGTAGAAAAGTAATTAAAGGAAGATACAGAAGTACAATAATGCACAAATGCTTTGATTAAAAAGTCACTCGGACAACATGCAAAGTATCATGTTAAGCGAAATGACTCAGAAAAAAAGGGATAGACATAGAAAGATTGCATTCACATGGGGAACATAAAGTGACAAAATAGGAGACTAACACCCAAGAATGGCCGAGATTAGTACCAGGAATTTTACTCCATGGCTTGGAGGCCAACCACACATGCTAGGAGAAAAGGGAGCTCGGATAGAGAAGGGAACACCAAATAAAGGTGTTGGGAGGATCCTCCCAGGATGGGAGAAGCGTGCTGAAAGTAGACTATAGACCAAACATGACTGTCACTCATTGCCTCTTTTGCAAACCACAACACCCAAAAGGAGAGAGAGAACAAAAGGGAATGCCCTGCCACAGAGGCAGTGTGGGATGGCGGGGATGGGGGGTGAGAGGGAAACTGGGATCCGTGGTGGTGGGAAATGGGCACTGGCGGAGGGATGTATAACTGAAACCCAAGCACAAAAATTTGTAAGTCTGCTGTACCTCATGATGTCTCACAAAAAAAGAAAAAGATTACGCTAAAAAAAATTAAAAAATAAAATAAAAACAAAAAAAGTCACTCGGTTGAAAAATAAAAAGAAAACAATTTAAAATGATATTTGGTTATTCCCCATCTCTGGAAAATCAACGGTAATACCCATAAGCCACCTCTGACTGGCGCCAGATAATCTCATCATGGGCCATCATTCAGAATCACATGTCCTTCTCTCCCAGAAGGGAGTATGACGTGACACTCACAATAACCATGCTGCCAGACCTCGTCCAGGCTGTTTCGGGGTACCCCGGAAGGGGGGCGGCTCAGACACCTTCCTGCCCCAAAGGACCCAGCAATGAGAGCCAAAAACCTCCAGAACTCAACTGCTGCCTAGCTCATGGACGGTCACCAATACTTGGGCCCAGCCTCACCCACAAGTGAATCTATTCCTGGACACTTCATACCTCACACCACCCATACTCCAAGAGTACTGCACCACATTTGATGTAGTTCAAAGTAGGAGAAAATCTATTTTAGAGGGATATTTTTTTCATATATATATATATATATATATATATGCACACGCACACAAGGCTCAACTTTTAACAGCACGTTAAAAGCATGTTAGTGACCTCTTATAGAATGGTTTAATGGCTCCTGGGTGAAATACAGCAGTCTTTAACTCTTCCCTGAAAGAAAACTTTTTGAGAATTTTCAGTGGGTTTTCATAAAAAAAAAAAAAATATATATATATATATATATATATATATAATTTCAGTTCTCCTTTGTGAAAAGGACTGGAGTGTTCAGGATAGAAACACCTGAAATATGGTGGTGGAAATGTGTAATAGTGGTGGATTGGTATTTTAATATTAAATGTAATAAAATATTGTGAACTGCTTTATAGCACAGCAGGTAGGGCATTTGCCTTGCACAAGGCCAACCCGGCCGACCTGGGTTCTATTCCTCCGTCCCTCTCAGAGAGCCCGGCAAGCTACTGAGAGTATCTCGCCCACACGGCAAAGCCTGGCAAGCTACCTGTGATGTATTCCATACGCCAAACACAGTAACAAGTCTCACAATGGAGATGTTACTGGACCTGCTCGAGAAAATCGATGAACAATGGGAGGACATTGCTACAGGACAGTGTTATTGTGCTACTTTATAAAATAACAAAAACTTAAATAATAATAATAATGTTTGGACCAGAGAGATGTACAGGGATTTAGGTACTTCGCATGCAGGCATTTGACCCCAGTTGTTTCCTAAACCAGACCCTATCTAGTCCCCCAAGTGAGATCTCTGAACACAGAGCCAGGAGCTAGCCCTGAGCACCAACAGGTGTAGACCAAATCTCCAAAAAAAAAAAAATCAAATTAAAAACAATAAGTTCAAAGATGCACATTTGATGTAGTTCAAAGTAGGAGGAAATCTATTTTAGAGGGATATTTTTCCATATATATATATATATGCACACACGCAAGGCTCAACTTTTAACAGCATGTTAGTGACCTCTTATAGAATGGTTTAATGGCTCCTGGGTGAAATACAACAGTCTTTAACTCTTCCCTGAAAGGAAAATTTTTGAGAATTTTCAGTGCTTTAGCAATAAAGTATGTGCTTAAATACTTGTGGAGTCCTGGGTTCAATCTCCATTGGAGAATTTGGGGAGAAAAAAATGTAAAAACTCACCCACACACATGCATACTATGCAGAAGAAGCATTGGCATTCTGCCACCGTCGACATTGTTCTGGGTAATGAAATTTGTTAAGTATAAGATATTTGTTCATGTCTATCCCCTTACCTTTTTTAATATCCTAATCTGTGCCCCTTTTTTTCTTTTTGTTTTCTTCTTGCATCACACCCAGTGTTTCTCAGCGGTTGCTCCTAGTTCTGCACTAAGGAATTCTAGCAGAGCTCAGGGCACCATATAGGATGCCGGTGATCAAAACCAGCCAGCTGCCTGCAAGGTAAACACCACAGAAGCTTTACTATCACTCTTACAATCATACATATCTTATTCATTTAGTTACTTTTAGGAATAGCAAAAGCTAAAATTGTCATTTCATTCAGCTGTGTTTATAAGTCAAAAAGATAAATTGAGTAAATATAATTCTAGATTTTTATTTACTGACCTAAGTTTTATTTAATGGGTTGGGGATCACTGTCACTGTCCTCCCGTTGTTCATCGATTTGCTCGAGCGGGCCCAGTAACGTCTCCATTTTGAAACTTGTTGTTACTGTGTTTGGCATATGGATACGTCATGGGTACTCTCGGTAGCTTGCCAGGCTCTCTGGGAGGGGTGGAGGAATCGAACCCAGCTCGGGTGGCTGGGCTGGCTGCACGCAAGGCAAACACCCTACTGCTGTGCTATCATGTGTTGAGGAATAATTCACAAATGTAATTATTATATTGAAAGTATCCACCAGGATGACTCGATAGTCACTCTTATTGAAGAATGCTCATAAAAAAGAAAATTTAACATCAAGCATCTCATATGTTCAATATCGTTCACTTTTGTGTCTGGGGTGTGTTGCATACGCTTAAGATTTTAATTTGAGTGCATTCCAAGTACACGATATCATTTTATTAACTATGGCCAGCCAGCTGAACAGTAACTCCACAGAACTTATTCATTATCTTAGTAAGCAGCTGTACACTTTACTGATATTATTCTCACTTCCTTTTCTCCAGACATTGGATACCACCATTGTATTCTATTCTCTGTTCTTATGGTATTAGCTTTTTCTTATTTGAGGTTCCTCATATATGTGATGCCATAGAGTATTTGTCTTTCTCTGAGTGCTTCATTTCATGTAGCTAATGATGTATCTCTGATTTGTACAGGTTGTGCCTAATGTTGAAATTCATTCTTATTACTAAAATAATTGAGGTATGTATAGAAAACAGATTATCTTAATTAATCCCTTGAAGGACATTTAGGTAATTCTCATTTCTTTTCTATAGTCCCCTCACACCCGTTTCCCAGATGTTCTCGTTCTGATTGTGCATAATTTCAATGCCTTGGTATATGCAGATAGATTTTTGAGATACTGATATCAATATTAGTATATGTATAAACCAATTTTTAAGTCGTACTATTTTCCAGAATTGCTGTACCAAGTTGCATTTCCTCTAAAATGTATAAAGTAATTTTTTTTCTTCTAAAGCTGAATGTCTAAATTTGAATAGCTGTATATCACAACCACAAAACCAGCAACACTGGAAACAGAAGACCCAAACCCCAAATTTTACAATGTGTCAGCCAAGGAGTCAGCGTGAGGATTGAGACCAGCCTTAGGGGCACTGATTTCGGGATCTGTTCTGGAATGTTGTGTGAATTACTTTAAAAATTATGGTGCTTTAATAAAGTATTTTTTAATTTTCTAGAATTTTAAAATAAATATGTTTGTGTAACTAGTAATAACTTCTACTCACTGTAGCACTGTAGTACTGTCATCCTGTTGTTCACCAATTTGCTGTAGCGGACACCAGTAATGTCTCCATTGTGAGACTTGTTTTTACTGCCTTTGGCATATTGAATACGCCACGGGGATCTTGCCAGGCTCTGCCATGAGGGCGGGATACTCTCGGTAGCTTGCTGGGCTCGCCGAGAGGGACAGAGGAGTCAAACCTGGTTCAGCCACATGCAAGGCAAACGCCCAACCCACGGTGCTATTGCTCCAGCCCATGATCACTGAATTTTTTCCCAGGCAGATCAACTATGTTGATCTAACTTCTACTCAGAATACCAAAAATCATACTATAGAAATTCATATATACCACATATTCCTAATGCTACCTAACATCAAATACTAATTTTTCCAAATCTACGTGCCTTGGCTCTTATCATTACAATTTATATTTCAATTATTTAAAAATACAGTATATTCATGGGGCTGGAGAGAGAGTACAGTGCATAGGGCACTTGCGTTGCACACAGCTGACTCAAATCCACCCAACACCTCATCTGGTCCCCCAAACCCCTCCAAGAGCAAGACCTGAACTCAAAGCTCTAAGTAAGCCCTAAGCACCACCAGGATGACCCTAAAGCAAAAGAGAGAGAGAGAGAGAGAGAGAGAGAGAGAGAATAAAACCAAAAAAAATTACATCAAATGATAGTGCATTATTCCCATTATTTATAGAACATAACATAATTTTCACATTTTTGATAATTAGAATCCAACTTAAAGTTGAATTTGTTTAAAGAAATTTAAAATAAATTAGTCTTGACCTGCAACAGGGACAGGCTTGCCAGTTGGTTGGGAAAATGGAGACAATGGTGTAAGGATTGGGGTTGGAATATTGAATCCTGCAGCAAGTTATCATGGAAAAACTTTGTAAATCACAGTGTTTAAATAAAATTGGGGGTAATTTCAATTTGTTTAAAAATAATATCTTTCAAAATGTGAACTTACAAAAAATATGAACTTACATTTCTCAAACTAAATAAATTTAAGAATTACTAATTCTCTAATTTTCCATCAAATTTCAAGATCACTGAATTTAATACAATTTTAAATTCAAGAAAGATCATAGAAACAAATTTTCATATATTCATTAAAAACATAACATTGATAGAGGTGTTTAGGACTGGACTATTTGTATCAGAATTGCTAAGAAAATAAAATTTAATTATTCTCATATTTTTCAATTAGAGTATTCTAAAATCTTTTAAATAGTTATAAGGAACTCTTACAGGAAGACCTTCTCCACTTCTTACCTCTACTCTTACTTATATCTGACTAGCTTTCTAACTTGACTAGGTTGAAGACTAGCCATACTTTCTCCCATCTAGAAATTGGAGATGAAAAGTGGATACATTTTCCCTTTCACAGTTCAAGTCTAAGACATATAAGTTAATAATTCTGTGTATATAGATTAAGAGGAATTGAAGATCTGAGAAATTGAAGAATCAAAAATTAGTGTTTGTGTTTGTCAAAATAGAGTATATCAATGCTCTAAAAAATTAGTGTTTGTGTGTGTGTATATATATATATATATATAGAGAGAGAGAGAGAGAGAGAGAGAGAGAGCACTGTAATACTGTCCTCCCATTGTTCATCTATTTGCTCGAGTGGGCCCAGTAATGTCTCCATTGTGAGACTTGTTGTTACTGTGTTTGGCATACTGAATAAGTCACGGAGAGCTTGCCAGTCTGTGCTGTGCGGGTGATATACTCTCAGTAGCTTGCCGGGCTCTCCGAGAGGGCGGAGGAATCGAACCCTAGTTGGCCAGGTTGACCACATGCAAGGCAAATGCCCTACCCATTTGTTCTGTTACTCCAGCCCAAAACACACACACACACACACACACACACACACACACACACATATATATATACATATATATATATATATTCTACCCCAAAACAAGACTGTAAAGTTTATCTTTCCAGACCCTGAAATATGAACAAAAGCTATATTGAGCTATTTGAAAAGAGGAGACATGGGTTAGAAAAAAGATGGTTTTTCTTTGACAATCATTCAACTGCTTTTTGGCAGACATTTCTCTGATTATTCTTGTGATAGGAGCCATGTAATAGATGCATCAAAGTCAGACCTCAGAATGTACTCCTGGACAAGAATCTATAGATGAGGCTAATTAAGTTGTTCAAGTAGTTGAGTTGGTAATGTGAGTGGAGGCAAAACGAGAGAGAGAGAGAGAGAGAGAGAGAGAGAGGTGAAAAGGGAAAGCTTACTTACTCCTCTAGGTCACCCCCTTCTGTCTTTTATTTTCGCATCCATGCAGGAAAGAAGGCTGCTGGCATGACTTTAACAAGTTAGAATGTCTCCCTGAAGTGAATGTCTCTGGCCAATGCTTGCAAAACGGGTGAAAGTAAATATTTCTTAACCAATAATCCCAGGATAAAATTATATTAGATAAAAATGCTTGGGGACCTGGATCTCCAAGTTGCTCATTAACGTGAAGTTTGAGAGTGTCCGGAGCCTGGTTTCCCCAGGGGTAAAGCTTAAAAGAATGCTTTTAAGTCGCTCATTAACGTGGAGTATGAAAGTGTCCGGAGCAAGGTTTTCCCAGGGGTGAAGTTTGAAAGAATGCAATTCTCAAGTGAACTTTTTTCTGTCTCTGACAGACCATATCAGAGATAAATTCCCTCAACTCTTTACGCTGTCCAGTGTTTATATTAATATATTCTTTGTAGGGGCTCAGGACAAAAAGATAGTTGCATGAAAGCAATGTCTTTTTTATTAGAAATTACGTGGGCAACTTTTGGAAAGCAGTATGGACGATTCTCAAAAAATTAGAAATTGAATTCCCAATTGACCCAGCAATACCACTCCTGGGAATATATCCCAGTGGGGCAAAGAAGGACAGTCGAAATGACATCTTCACTTCTATGTTCATTTCTGCACTGTCCACAATAGTCAAAATTTGGAAAAAACCCAAGTGTCCAAAAACAGATGACTGGTTAAAGAAACTTTGGTACACCTACACAATGGAATACTATGCAGCTGTTAGAAAATATGAAGTCATGAAGTTTACAAACAAGTGGTTGTACATGGAAAGTAACATACTGAGTGAAATGAGCCAGAAAGAGAGGGACAGACATAGAAAGATGACACTCATCTGGGGACTATAAAGTAATAGAATGGGAGTCAAACACACCAGAATAGTTGAGATAAGTACCAGGAGGTGTGCTCCAGGGCTTAGAAGCCGGCAGCACACGCTGGGGGAAAAGGCAGCTCAGATAGAGAAGGGAACACCAGTAAAGGATGTTTGGACGACTCGCTCAGGATGCCAAATGCTTGCTGAAAGTAGACTACAGACTGAACATGATGGCTACTCAATGCCTCTAAATGAAAGAGTGAGCATAAGGGAATGCCCTCCACAGAGGCGGAGGGAGGGGGATGGGGTGGGGAGTGGGAGGACCACTGGGATCATTGGTGGTGGAAAATGGGCACTGGTGGAGGGATGGGTACTTGATCGTTGTACAGCGAAAACCCAAGCACGGAAGTTTGTAAGTGTACAACTGTACTCATTGTGTTTCACGAAAGAAAGAAAGAAAGAAAGAAAGAAAGAAAGAAAGAAAGAAAGAAAGAGAGAGAGAAAAAGAAAGCAAGAAAGCAAGCAAGAAAGAAAGATAGATAGAAGATAGATAGATAGATAGATAATAGATAGATAGATAGATAGATAGATAGATAGATAGATAGATAGATAGAAATTACGTGGGCAAAAAGGAATCAGGGCCAAAAAGATGGTATGCAGATTAAAGTGCTTGCCTTGCACTGGGTAGATCCCTAGCACTGCATGTGATCCCCTGAGCATTATAAGGAGTTATACCTGAGCACAGAGCCAGGAGTAAATCCAAAGAACTGGGTGGAGCTCAACACCACTTTCCAAAAGTAAAGAATTCAATTATTTACATAATCAGATAAGTGAGATAATTTTTTTTGTAATTAGATATATTCATTAGTAAGCATAGAACTGAAGATGTGGATCATCAATAGAGCACTTTGCTTTTATGTGTGAGGTCCTGAGTTTGATTGCTGGTGCAAAAGAAACCCTTTAATAAGCATGAATACTTTTAAATTTCTATGAAAGCACAGCGGTAGGGCATTTGCCTTGAGCGCAGTCAGCCCTGCCGAGCCGGGTTCAATTCCTCCGCCCCTCTTGGAGAGCCCGGCAAGCTACCGAGAATATCTCACCCTCATGGAAAAGTCTGGCAAGCTACCCATGATGTATTCAATATGCCAAACACAGTAACAAGAAGTCTCACAATGGAGACATTACTGGGTCTGCTCAAGCAAATCAATAAACAACGAGAGGACAGTGTTTTTGTTTTTATGAATTTTTACCACTTAAGTGCCTGTACTATGGTTTATTAAGGTATGCATCAAATTTATTTGAAACTCACTATTATTGATCATCAATTTTATTGACATGTTTCCTTGTCTTTTTTCCTTTCTTTTTTCCAGTGTGTTTTATGCTTATGCTGTTTTTATTTAGGCACTGTGACTTTAAAAGTTGCTGATAGAGGGTTTCAGGCATACAGTGTTCCAACACCAGTCCCACCACCAGTGCCCACATTCCTCCCCTAATGACCCCAGTTTCCCTCCCACTCTCTCACCTATCTCCTTGAGAGGCACATTCTTAAGTTTAACTGTAGTGTTGGTTGTAGTGGCTCAGATAAATACATGCACCCAGCCCAGACAAGAAAAGACCTGAACACCTGAAGAACCTGCCGTCAGTACTCATCAATACACTGGCTCGGCTCTTCACACGCTACCTGTCTGAATGCAACGTTTCATCCCAGTGGAAAACCAGCAGGACCGTACTACTGTTCAAGAAGGGAGACATCCATGACATTGGCAACTATTGCCCGATCTGCCTATTGTCTGTCATCTACAAGTTGTTCACTTGAGTCATCCTAAATAGGATTGGCAGAACACTAGATGAAGTTCAACCATGCGAGCAAGCCGGGTTCCGCAAAGGATTCAGCACCATCGACCAAATCCACATGATAACTAAGCTCATTGAGGTTTCTCAGGAGTTCAAGATGCCACTCTGTCTAACGTTCATTGATTTAAAGAAGGCCTTTGATTCTGTTGAGACAGAAGCTGTCATTGAAGCCCTAGCCAATCATGGCATTCAAGGCCAATACATAAAGATCCTCCGTGAGCTGTATTGAGGATTCACTACCAGGATCTCACCATTCTACAAAGAAGTGATC